CCCCCCACACACACACACACACACACACACACACACACACACACACACACACACACACACACGCACACACACAATGCCTGACACCACAGTGTGGCCTTGCAGGACGGAGTCCACCGAAGCTGCCTTAGCTAGAAAAGTTCTCGCCCAACCGGCCCACTGCTCTGCGGCCCTAAAGTCAGCTTGAGCTCCCACCCTTGGCCACTGTCTTCACGCATTCCTGGCTCTGCTTCACGGCCAATACCCCCCCCCCCATTAGCCAACTGATGGCAACTTGGCCTTCAGAGCGACAAAGTAAAAACCTGCAGGCTAGTTCCATCTGTCTAGATAGAACATCTGATTCAGCTTCTCATCCAGTGAGACAGGATTGCTTTGCTGTGGGGAGAGACTGCCCCCCCCCCCTCCCCCCCTCACTCTCTGTTGTGACACCACCACCTGCAGGCAGCGAGTACGATGAGGAGGAGGTGGACTACGAGGAGTCGGACAGCGACGAGTCCTGGACCACCGAAAGTGCGATTAGCTCCGAGTCCATCCTGAGCTCCATGTGCATGAATGGGGGGGACGAGAAGCCTTTCGCCTGCCCCGTTCCCGGCTGCAAGAAGAGATACAAGGTGAGGCCCGTGCGGGGGGGGGGGGCATCTGGCAGGGTGGGACCAGGCCAGAAAACAGTGAAGCTTTCATGTAGGGAAAACAGACGTAGCTACAGTATCAGATATGGAGAGTTGGGTTGCGATGTCTGTCATCACTGGTGTAAGTTACTCCCCGGTGGGCCAGACTATCACCAGAAATCTGAGGAAGCACTTAATGAACTTGGGTTTGAACAAAATATTGTGGTTTTCGAGGCTTTCCGTGGACACGTATGTCATTCGTTTAAAGTCATTAATTTAAAATTCAATTTCGACACCCATAAAAAGTTGAGCACAGCGTGTCAGGAAAACAGCACCGGGAAGTAACTGCCCCAAGTGTTCCTCCCGGCAGCCACACGGAGCCGGGGGGGGGGGCATTAAGATGGCTTTAAGAGGCTCCCTTATGTTCGCTGCGTAGAGATGACATGAAAAAGTGCTTTTAAAATAACATATCAATCCACTTCAGAGGGCCTTGTAAGTTTTTACGGGATTTTCCGTTCACATCTGGTGTGCGGCCAACATAAATTACACAGGCGAAGTGAAATTAGGAGCACAGGCAGGATGACGCCACGAGCGGGAAGTCGCTGCTGGAATTTAGGGGGGGTGGGGGTGTGTGTCTGCGGGTCCTCGTCCTCTCCTTCGTCATGTCACCCTTGCCACCCCACCCCCCACTGTGCAGAACGTTAATGGCATCAAGTACCACGCCAAGAACGGCCACCGGACGCAGATCCGGGTGAGGAAGCCCTTCAAGTGCCGATGCGGGAAGAGCTACAAGACGTCTCAGGGCCTCCGGCACCACACCATCAACTTCCACCCGCCCGTGTCGGCCGACATCATCCGCAAGATGCAGCAGTAGTGCTGGTCGCCGTGCCAACTCATCACACCAGCCTCCACCCCCACCCCGAGACCTTCCCCAACACTACAGTCGTACTGCATGCTTTAACTGTTCCCATTCGTTTCCCGTCTGTAATCTGAAATGGTGGATTCCTGCAGATTTAGTGGTTTTTATACATTTGCACACTTGTTAGCGTTACGTATTTCTGCCGACTTTGTCATTACGGTGCTAAATGTTTGTTAAAAAAAAAAAAAGAAAAGAAAAAAAAAAACTATGAAACGTATCTTGGAGACAAAATAGCAGCTGTGAGACCAGCCCGATCCCTGACGCCATCCCGATGGGCACAGGTCACGGGAGGGCGCTGGGGCACGAACGGAGGGGAGATTGACCAATGGCGAGTTAGGGGGTTGGGAATTAACGTCTCCACTCAAACTCCATCATTCCAACAGAAAGTAGTCTGGTAGTCGGCTATCTAGGGTTAGCTTAAACAGCAAGCCAGTCGGAATGTTTATAATCGACGTTAGTTATTATCTGGTATATGGCAAATGTATGTGAAAATTATGCCTTCAGAATCAGTTTTGCAATGTATGCTTTATTTCCCCGTTTCATTCTGTAGCATATTTTACTCGCGATACTTTGAGAGCATTTTAGGCTTAAAAGCTGCTTAAATATTTAAATTTTTTAATTATTATTTTTTAAAGTTTATCAGACCCAGATAGTTATGACTTCTCTGTGTTTGATGCCAAAAGACGATCTCAGGTCAATCGTTTTGCCAGCAATCGAGAAACGTGATTCTGCCCAAACATTCCCGCGACATCTGGACCGAACAGTTTTCCTGGGAATCCCCCACACGCGCGGCCCTGGTTTTCCCTCCTGAGGGCAGTTGGAGGACGGTCGTCCCCCTCCCCCCTCCCTCACCTGGATGAAGTCTTTTTAAAGCGTTTTGTTGTTTCCGTTGCCAACGACCCGCAGGGCTGCAGTGTGCCTGGGAGCCCGCAGTCCCGCAGGGATGCAGTGTGCCTGGGAGCCCGCAGTCCCGCAGGGATGCAGTGTGCCTGGGAGCCCGCAGATCCGCAGGGCTGCAGTGTGCCTGGGAGCCCGCAGATCCGCAGGGCTGCAGTGTGCCTGGCAGCCCGCAGTCCCGCAGGGCTGCAGTGTGCCTGGCAGCCCGCAGTCCCGCAGGGCTGCAGTGTGCCTGGGAGCCCGCAGTCCCGCAGGGCTGCAGTGTGCCTGGGAGCCCGCAGACCCGCAGGGAAAACAAAACTGACCCGAGAGCTATCAGCCCGGCAGCACTGCTGTCGACACGCGTTTCATCTGTCCCCCCCCCCCGTCCCATGACTCCCTAGTAGGCCGTGCATTTACCCGATCTCTGACAGCCTTGTATTTTCTATCTCTGCATTCCAGTATATGCCTATGTAGCTTTATGGTGAAACTTCGTGGAGTATTTAGTTTGAACCTTATCGATTAGTATTCTGCCCGTTTCGTGCAGCACGAGGTGTCTGTTTTATCACAGCCCTGCCTCCTTTGGAAGGCGTCCGTACGGCGTGGATAGGGACGCGGCGGTACGGTGAGAAAGCATTCGTCCGCTAAGAGTGCTCTTCTCAGCGCCGTCCTGCGGAGGCGACAGGCCCGTCTGACACTCTCCAGCAACCCATCGCTGCATGATTATGAATATTGTTAAGGAACTCGGTCATACTTAGCTTAATTTTGTGACAGTATTATACAGCAGGTTTGGAGGGGGCTATTTTGATATATTGTGTATAGTGAATGTATTGTTACGTCTCCTGTAAGTGCTTTAAATTATATTTTCGTATGTGTGTAGAGAATAATGTACCAGTATGTATGAAGGCAAAAAGAGGATATGTTTTGGAACCGAAGGTGATATATTCTGTCAAACTTTCCTTTAAAAAGCTGCTTCTTAAATGTAAATCTTATTAAATTTTAAAGTATGAAAGGCTCAGGTGTGACTTTGATGTATGGCTTATGGAACACATCCACCGCAGAGACGCTATCGGAGTACGATCAGCCTGGCAGAGACACAGGTAGATGTGCTGAGAGTCACTGCCCCGAGTCACTGTCCTGCCCTCATACTGCTAAATATAGTTTCTGGATGGCTACTCCAACTATCCCATCCATTTGAGCCCATTCAGAATTACTTATATGGTAGGTGATTTAATTTGACCATTTAAAAAGCAATCAAGGAACAGGAATGAGCTTTTTTTCATATAAAATTTTATTATTCTGTTTAGTTTTACCATGAACCAACAGTGGGAATTAAACAGAAGATCCAAAGGCTTTATGATAGGATTAGTTTCACAGACGGCGGCTTTTTGTATCACATACAAGCGTAAAAATCGGAGCTAAAAGAAAACCTGTGTGATGGTAGAAGAGACCAAACGCACTCAAACCGGTAAGATAACACCAAGCCGACGGTGAGGAAAACAAAAACATCTGAACTAAAGATCGCACACTCACAGGAGTCACTATCTTACCAACTCCACGACGGCAACACGACACCCCCACACGGCTGATACTCTTCAGTTCAAAATATTCATGTGATTAAGACCCAACTCACGCAATAAAATGAGGGTTACTAACCTAACCTGCACTCACTGACACAAAGAGAAGCAGAACTACTGGTGTCATTAAGCTAAATCTTCTCGTTTTCAGTGCATGCAATTAGGTCATAAAGGTGTATGCTTAGCCACACGGGCAGCGACGCAGACGCGGTCACACCCCCCGCTCCTCTGCCTCCGGGGGGGGCCTAGTCGAAGTTGAGCGCTTCGCCGGAGAAGTGCGTGAGCACGTGCTCCTCGAAGGCACCCTGGTCGCAGTCCAGTGGGAACTGCGTGCCGCACATGGGGCAGACCTTCCAGTGGCTCTCCACGTGCTCTTCGAACTTGCTCTGCTCGTAGTTGGGGGGGAAGATGACCTCGCACAGCGGGCAGCGCTTCTGGACCTCCGAGCTGCGAAGAAAGGGGCGGGGAATTGCCCCACACCCACATCTCACTTTCTGAAGCTTATGTGGACAATTAAGGGCATTTTACTACATTATTTACTAAGCCTTTAATCCAAAACAACTTGCACTACTACACTTTAAGCATTTATTAATTTGCTCCACTTTAAACACTTTTTACTGGGACATTTTGAGTTTAGTTCCGGACTCGAGACACACGGTAACATGACGGGTTTTGAACCTATAACCTCTTGATTGTCAGATCCATTCTCCCATCTGTCAGGCTTCAAACCGCGCTCTCATAAAAAGATCCCCGGTGGCTTGCTGATGCCCCGAGAGGCAGTGTAATAAACAGCATGTGTCTGCCTGGGTGGGCCCCGGAACCACTGGCCAACCTGACAGCTCTGCCTGTCAACAGCCTGCCATCAGCATCGCGGTCCCACTACTGGGTTCCCGTGGACGAGGAACGGGCCAGGAGCGAGCCGGCGTCCTCTAACTCTGAAGTAGGTTACCTGGAGTCAAAGCGGAAGGGGGTTTGGGTATCCTCCACAAGGGGGCTGCTCTGCACTTCGTCTCCACCTTCCTGCTGGATGTGAGAAACGGCAAGATCACCTCGCAGGCCGAGGGCCTTGTGTGGTGCCCCTGGAGAGGATCAGGAGCTTCTAGGCTAACAGACTAGCAGCCTACAACTGAAGACACAGGAGGAACATGGAGCCACGCCTCCCTGAGTGAGGACTAATCATCCAGACCAGTGGACTCATCCCGCAACAGCTCGTAAAACTTCATAATATCTCCCAATACACCTCCTGTTATAATACTGAACTTGGCCCTATAATCTAACATGCAGCGCTGTGGACAGACGGCAGGTCTTCAGTACGGCCCATCTGGAGGACTCACATTGTTCTGCTCGTCAGGGTCCTCCAGGCCATCGGGCCGGCTCGGGTTGCGTGACGGCTGGATGCAGACGACATCGCTGTCCCAGGAAGGGGGTCCAGCAGGGGGTAGCCTGGGGATCTGCTCCAGGGACAGTTCGGCATCAGAGCCATCTGACGATGGGGAAAGAAAAAAACGACATTGAAAAATCAATGGTGTGATGCCTCTAAACCAAGACGATAGTTCAGTGTCACACTGGTGCCATTCGAGGGGGAATAGGGAGCCCCCACCTTGAATATGTGGGGAGCTGTAGGGGTTCCCGAACTGCAGGTCCGCGGGAAGCCCGGGCACAAGGGGGGTGAGTGGGGGGTCCTCGGGGTACGGCAGCGGGTAGTGCAGTAACACGGGCGGAGTCCTCTCTAAGCTCTCGCTCTTCGTTTGCTGGACCACCTCCCTCTGTGCCTTTTGCAGCTCCTGCAGAGACATGATCATGCAATTTGGAGTCAAACTACAAGATGGGGAATCTCAAGCTCGATGCAGGATCTCAAAAATTCTGTACAATCTTAAAGTGATGGGGAATAGAGATGGGTGCAGACAACATGTTTACTAAGGGCTTAAACAGTGCAGAAAGATCATAGGGGACTTTTCATGAGTGACCAAACTGGCATTTCTGCTGCTCACTTTCATTGAATAGTGAGCAAATATATTTGGTTTGCAAGAATTTATCAAGTGTCTTTTAACTGACAACAAACTAGAGCTGTTTCAGGAAAAGAAAGGCCACAAGCTTTATTGCGTTATCTGTTCATGCCAGGCAGCTGCATTTATTGAACGACCCAGGCAGCCCAAAAGGAAAAATGACTTGACTTTCAATAAAACAAAACCAGCGTCCCCGATTAAGAGCTCTGTGTGTGTACAAGCGCACACACATTCATTGCATGGTAGCAGAATTTCAAAACGGCACTTAAATGTGTATGCGACTACGGAAACTTAGCGAGCAGTACACGACTTTTACGTCTATAGATACAGCAAAACGTACCTTGTCATACACACGCCTGAAAATGCTACAATCAAACTCAGACTCCCTACGTCAATGCCCTCCACTGCTTCCTCAAACAATACATCACACGCCTGTAAACGCACGGAAAACCCAGACCAGTGGACTCTCCCACACACACAGAGTTAGCTCCTTCATTAAAAAAAAAAAAAACTCCTCTCATTTTCAAAGGAATTTTAAGTCTGCTTTTTATTGACGTTTTTTTTTAAAGGCGCCAATTTCATTTATTGAGTCTGAACCTCAAATTGGGTCATTTTACCCTATGAGCGGTAAGTGTGTTACCTTTCGACTGTGTGGATCTCACTGTGGTCCGCAATAATTGAATGGAAAATAAGAAGTCACTGACTTTGCTGGTCCAATTAGAGAGCAATGATAAACCAAAGAGTGTCTGCGGGCCAAAACACAGCATTCTTAGCTCAAAACGGCCACCTCCAGACAACGGGACTCCAGCTCTTACCTCCTCCAGCTTCTCCTTCTCCTTTGTGAGCACAGCAAGGCTCTCCCTCAGCTCCTTCACCTCACGACCCTTTTCGGCCACTTGACTCTGAGATGGAGAAACGGTTAAAGGACCAAGCGGGCTCACGAAACGGCTCGGTGCCTCCCCAGGGCTTGGAAGACACTGAGGAGATAAGAAACCTGGAGCGTGAACCCTGGGTTTTAAAGTGGATCCTGAAAATAAAAACGGCTCCAAGCTGCAGTTTGCATGATGGACATATTTACGTGACAAACATCTATAAAAGTATTCCATCCCAGGACATGCACAGAGCTGACATGAAACACTGCAAGCCAACAACTGCATTAGAGACCGTAGCCTTGACATAAACAGCCGTAAAAGCCGTCTCCCAAATCGCCTGTCTGTAAACCTTGCGTTTGTGTATTTAGACTCCTCCAAAGGTGGCATCAAAGAGCAACTCTTCATCTAAAACAGCCATAAAAACATCTTTGAAAGGATGCAGGCTTCGGGGACCAGTGGGTGCTGGGAAAACTACTCTCATGGAGACCTGCCAGCCCCCACAGCTCTACATCTTTACTGCTAACAGACTGATCTTACCGTTGTCTGAAGTTCTTTCTTACCCATACTTACCCAAGTAATAATCATGCTTCTTGGCCATGTAAATATTAATCCTTCCCCTCACTAACCTATTGGTCATATTCTTCATTATAATTATGGACACGAGGATAACCCATGTTTTAACTAGTCTACTAGTCACATTCTGCATTATACAACAGTCAGCTCCAACCAAGAAATCCAACTGGACGAGAGGCTTTCTGTGAGTGATAATCAGAAAATAACAGCACTCGGACATTTCATCTCAGACGTACCACTCTGCTTACAGCTGTATCTAAAAATCATTAATGGAAACATACAAATAAATGTAAATGATCCAAAGCCTTTGGGAGTGGGTGAGTAGTGGGTGAGTAGCATTACACTGGAATGTTTGAGGTCCTTGGCAATTTTGAGCAGTTGGCTGGTGGGAATTAATTTTTTTTTGCAGAGGTGCATAAATGTTTAAATAATCAAGCAAAATATTATCTGTTGTGGCTTATTAGTTTTAACTTAGAAGTGCTACTCGATGAACTGTTGTATAAAAGCAATAACATATTCAAAGCTGTGCGGCTGTACTCCAATATTTCATGGCCTGTGGCCTCGTGCCTAAGAGAATCACAGCCGTGATATACTGGAGTACAGCCGTGATATACTGGAGTACAGCCGTGATATACTGGAGTACTCGTATGTTACTGCTTAACTATAACACCTGTCCTCGTTGCATTGACCTTCTCCAGAGACCAAAGCTGCTGTTGATCGTGTGGCCGTCTGACCTTATAGCGATCCTCTTCTGCGGCCACCTGCAGCTTCAGGTTCTCGTTGATCTTCAGCTGCTCCTTCCACTTCGCCTCCATCTTGGTCAGCTCGTCTGCAAACACACTGCTCCGTTCCTTCTCCTCCTGCAGAGCATGACACAGAGCTTTCCCACCAGCTCCTGTCTGGCCGCATCACCTCTTCCTGACGTTACCAAGCGACGCTGATCCGGCGCCCAGTTCGAGACCTTTTGTGTGACAGGGGCTGTACCACATCCACGCAGTACATCCACGCAGTACATCCACGCAGTACATCCACGCAGTACATCCACACAGTACTTACGCTCAGCATCTGCTTGCATCTCTTGTACTTGTCACTTTTCTCTACCACTTCCTTGCTTATGTCTTTGAGCTTTTCCTGAATCAGTGTGTCGAGCAAGACGTCCACTGAGGTCGCAGCTCCTGCACCAGGGAACATCAGACACGGATCAGAGGGGTCTTCTTCTGATCTGGGAGATGGCTGTAGCCGACTGAGGAGATGGGGCTACCTAAGGTTGACGGCTCGAGGCTTTTGGGCGGAGGGCTGGCCGTCACGTCCGACACCAAAGCTCCAGAGGCCCCCGGACTTTTCTTCATCTCCTGGAAACAGAAAAACGATGTCAGTGGGAAACTGCCACTGGCCTCATGAGCAGCCACCAGGGGAGCAGAGGCGGGACTGACCTCCTGCTGCTCGGAGAGTTTGGCCACTTGTCTCTGCAGCTTCTGGCACTCCTTATACTTCTCCTTGTAGTGTTCTCCAGCCATCTGTAACCTCAGCTTCAGGTCTTCCACCTCCCGCTGAAGCTCTGCCTCTGTAGCCATGGTAACACTGGGCCCCATCTCCTCACAGCTCCCCTGCAGCAGAGTGCGAAACTGCAGTCAGCACAGTGCGGGGCGGAGGAGCTGGAGACGAAGGGTGAGTTCAGGTGCGTCGTACAGGTGCGTCGTACAGGTGTGTTGTGCGGCTGCGTACCGCTCTGTGTCGAGTCGCGCCCCTCGCCCTGTCCAGCTCATCTGCCAGGCGGCCGCACTCTGCACAGGCCTCCCCCTGGCCTGTACGCAGCTCCTCCAGCTCCTGCCGTACACGGTACAGTTCCGAGGCACTGCGGTCACGGGCGCTCGATGCGTCCCTTAGCTCTGACGCCAGCATGGCAGCCTGCTGGCGCGTCGACTGCAGCTGCTCCTCAGCCTGGCGCAGCTTTTCCTTCAGCGTGTCAGTCTCTCTCTGCCACAAAAGTGCATTACGACGCATTACTACAGACAAACGCTAATGCATGCTAACATGCTTTAACACACGCTAACATACGTTAGCGCATGCTAACAAATTCAGATGCATCTGCTATCTCTGTAGTACCCCATGTGTTGTCAACTCAAGACTCTTAAATGGCCATGATCGCCTTGCCCTTATGGGAGACACAAGCCACTGGGCATGGCTTTTGTGTTTGTGGATAGAGAATCAACTATGCTGGATCTCCTGGTTAAATGTATTTCTCCCGTGCCTCGTAAGTACCGTGGCTGAGGCCTGGGCCAGGATTTCCCGCTGCAGCTTCTCCTTCTCTGCCACGCAGGCCTCCAGCTGGCCGACCTCCTCCTTCAGCTGGACGATGGTGTTCTCCTTGTTCACATCCACCGACTTCAGCACCTGGAGCTCAGCCATCAGCTTGGTGTTCTCCAGCTCCCGGTTCTTCAGGTGAACCTGTGGTGACAGGAACGCAGAACCACTCTTAAGACATTCGTGGCTGTGTCAGGCAGGACGTGCAACTGGACACAGATACCAAACAGGAAACCTGGTTCTAGATCTTCACATTAAATTACCTGCCTGGCACCCAGAGGGGAACCACAAACAGTGTGGAACGCAAAAAGTCGTTTAAACAGGAGAACATAAAACAGCTGGATTTAATCAAACAAAAGGCAATGCTTGAGTGTGTCTGGTTGGGCAAGGCGGTGGAGGGGTTCTGTATGGTGTAAAGAGGTGGGGGCCGCAAGGCAGCGAGGCTCAGAAAGGCAGCTGTGCAGACTGGCTGCTGACACTGCGCAGACGAACAGGAGTATCTGCATGAGTTACGACACGCATTAAAAACCAAGGGCCCATTTACCTTATAGAGGCCCTTCTCGTCCCGCTCGTTCTGCAGCTGTGTCTCCAGGGCATCCTTCTCCTGGGTTAGCTTCTTCACCCTGTCCCTGAGGCTGTCCAAAAATGAAGACAATCACAGCTACGCCGGTGTCCCGGCAGAGGAGGAAGAACACAGTCCCCCTGCGGGGATCACAGGCCGACAGAACCATCTGGAAAGTTTTGTGAGGGCAGCATCGGTGGCGTTTAAGGACGACCGGGCAGCTTTGCATGCGGGCGTGCCGCTGTGACACCCGAGAACGGGAGCGACCGCCCCACCCACCAGTCCAGCTCCGTCTCCTTCTGAAGCCCCTTCTGTGTGACTCCGATCAGGTCCTGCTCCAGCTGGGCCACTCTGGAGGCTTCCTCTGCGTGCCTCCTCTTGGCCTCCTCCCGCTCCTCCTGCAGGGTGCGCATCGTGCCCAGGAGCTCCTGAAGGCGGCAGAATTTTGAGGGGAGCATCAATATGGAGAAGGAACCATGCAGGGACTACAACCAACTTATCTGGGGAAGACTGAAGACTGGGA